CACCTCCACCCCACTCCCACAAAAGAGCTCCTGGATTCAGACAAATATTATCGATGGCAGCATTTGTTTTTTCTTTACATAAAAAAAAGTAATCTTGTACCAGGACCAGCAAAACTGATGTCCTGTGAGGTTCACACAGATTGTCTATAATTAGAAAATAGAAGGTACATAAACTTTTAATGATACAATTTTATCTGTTCAACTGCACATTAAGAAGAGAAAAATTGTCCTATGTCACTTGTGAGCCCAAGAGAACTTCTATACCCCAATATCTTGTTAAACTAATAAGGTCCATTCAGCTTAAAAATTTTTTTCCCCAGTTTTTTAATTAATTATTTTTTTCTTTATTAAGGTATTACATATGTGTCCTTATCCCCCCATTGCCCCCCTCCCCCGTTCATACCCTCACCCCCCTAGTGTCTATGTCCATTGGTTATGTTTATATGCATACATACAAGTCCTTTGGTTAAAAAAATATTTCACTGTGTTTGCACTTTTCAGTTACTGAACTCACTGAGTCTGTGGGTACAACATTCATATATTCCTCTTTGGTCAGTTATTTAACCTCTTTTCCTCAAATTTGATCTGTGTTGAAAGTAAATAATTCACTCTCACTGATTTCCACGGTCAGACCTAAGAGCCACCTAGCTCTGACTTGAATAGAACCAAGGATGTAAAAGTAAAACGATCTGAGAGAATGACAGCCTCTTAAAGGGCAGGTGAAGGTTCAGTGACCTTCGGGCACCCTGGTCCATTCTGGTGAATCACTGCTTTGGGGAAGCATAGACCCTGTGGCTCATAAAACCTGATGACATTAAGAAGAAAGGAAGGATTTCACACTTAGAATTCAAGGTGACTGTTAGAAATACAACTTTAAAAATTAAAGAGGAAATAAAAATACCATCTTTAAAAATGAATTACTAATGATTTTTTTTCTTTAAAAAGTATTGGGAAAACCCATATCATGGAAATGTACATTTCTTATTCAATGTACACCACTGAGAGATAAATAGAACTGTTCAAATAAAAAAATGCCAAAGGTAATTCAACTACTGCATTGTAAGTGTGGCATAACTGATTCGTCATGACATACAATTTTCTAAAAGCTATTCTGTTAGAAGGCAATAAATGAGTGCATAAATGATTTACACTCTTCTGCACTATAGTTATTATTCAGTATTTTATTTTTAAAAATATATATACCCTATACTATTATGTTTATTCTCTAGAGTATAATAAAAACATAATTGAATTTGATGAAAAATAGACTTGATTCTAAATGTAGCATACAGTACATACAGCTATTCCCTTATTTTATGCGCTGTAAAGATCAATGGTCACTGGAGGTGGTTCTGCTCAAGGTTTGTTTTAATATATGGACAATAAAATATTTTTAATTTAAAAATTATATCCTTATATTCCTTGTCATATTTTCTTTTTAATACCAACATCTGAGTTTTGACCTCCATAACAATTTATGAATGCAAATACAGTATTTTAATCACTGTTTTACTTCTAAATATGATTTCTTATTGACTAGGAGGGAAATTGACTACAGATGGGTTAGCAAATAAAATTGAAGCAGTCTACAACAAAAGCATCAGAGTTCAGTGGCTGGTTTTGTTTTGAGGGAATCTAAATGCTATTATGAATTAAGATTATCTTTTTAAAAATATTAAAAATTTGTTTTAATATAACTATCTCTGAAATTTATATAAGTGACTTATGAACCTATTTTCACTTATAATTTCCTTTGAGTTAGAAACTCTGTCATGTAATATATAAATATATAAATTATCTAAGTATATAATTAACTAAAGTTCAATATAGCTATTTTATATTTATATATAGCATAGATTATAACATACACTAAAAGATGGTTAAGACATATACATGCTAAATTTAAAAATTATATTCATAACCCTGGCTGGTGTTGCTCAGTGGTTGGAGTGCTGGCTGGCCCAGGCACCAAAAGGCTGCAGGTTTGATTCTTGGCCAAGGGCACATACCTAGGTTGCAAGTTCAATCCCAGGCCTGATTGAGGCAAGTGCAGAAGGCAATGAATGGATTTGTCTCTCTCATATCTCTCTCCCCCCCTCCCTTCCTCCCTCCCACTCTCTCTAAAAAAATTCAATGGAACTCCCATTTGACCCTGTGATCCACTTCTAGGAATATATCCCAAGAAACCAGAAACACCAATCAGAAAGGATATGTGCACCCATATGTCCATAGCAGCACAATTCACCATAGCTAAGATCTGGAAACAGCCTAAGTGCCCATCAGTAGATGAATGGATTAGAAAACTGTGGTACATCTACACGATGGAATACTATGCTGCTGTAAAAAAGAAGGAACTCTTACCATTTGCAACGGCATGGATAGAACTGGAGAGCATTATGCTAAGTGAAATAAACCAGTCAATGAAGGAAAAATACCACATGATCTCACTCATTCATGGATAATAAAGACCATTATAAACTTATGAACAATAATAGATACAGAGGCAGAGCTACCTCAAACTGATTGTCAAACTGCAGCGGGAAGGCCAGAGAGGGTTGGGGGGCAGGAGGGAGGGGGGTAAGAGATCAACCAAAGGACTTGTATGCATGCATATAAGCATAACCAATGGACATAAGACACTGGGGGGTAGAGGAGGCCAGGGGATTGTCAAGGGCGGGGGAAAAAAAAAGGACACATATGTAATACCCTTTGTAATACTTTAAGTAATAAAACAATAAAAAAATGTAAAAAAAAAAAAAAAAAAGAATATTAACACAGCCCTGACCAGTTTGGCTCAGTGGCTAGAGCATCGGCCTGTGGACTGAAGAGTCCCAGGTTCGATTCCAGTCAAGGGCATGTACCTTGGTTGCGGGCACATCCCCAGTAGGGGGTGTTCAGGAGGCAGCTGATGGATGTTTCTCTCCCATGGATGTTTCTAACTCTCTATCCCTCTCCCTTCCTCTCTGTAAAAAATCAATAAAAATATATTTTAAAAAAAGAAAGAAAAAAAAGAAAAAACATCCTTGGGTGAAGATTAACAACAACAAAACATTATATTCATCAACTGTGACATAGAATATAAGGGTATAATTTTTAAATTAAAAATATACATATAGTGTAAGGGCAAATACAAGTTAAAAATAAGAGACTTAATTCTCTCTGCTTTAAATAAGAACAAAGATTTCCCTCCATTCCTGTTTTAAAAGCATTTACCTGAGAAACTTGTAATTATAAGCACTTTTCCATCTCTTTGACATGTATCCCTTGGAAGACTAGATAGGCCTTTTGTCAACTTTCCAAGCCAGGACTATCTCAAGAACCTGGGAGCCATCTTTTCCAAATGCAAACACCAAGGAGATAGCTCCTGTATCTCCCAGTTTCTGTGGAAGTGTAGGAGCCTAATTTCAGTGGGTATGCTATCTTTTGAATTTGTTATCTATGCACATTTATATAATGATAAAAAAATTAACCACATTCTCATATAAAACTTGAGGAAAATATTATAGGAACATTTCACTTGCTTGGTTCAGTTCTTTGACAATTCAATATAACTATACCTTAAATTTTTAAGAAGGAAATACTATGTTATCATTCTACAATAGAAATTTTTACTGTGGCTTCATATTTATAACCTACATTAGGGGAATTATTAGACTCTTTGACCAAAAAGATTCAAATAAGTAAACTGACTCAAGAGTCCAGAAATACATTTGAAGACAAAGTCTATTCTAGCAAAGTACATGTATTAATGGGAAACTACTTAGCTGCCCTAGCTCCCCTCAGTGTTTGGTAACACTTTTGAAGTAGGTAATGAAGACTGATATGGCATAACAATTCTCTGTAGAGTCACTAGCCTCCCAAAGTAAGTGAGAAAGAGAGTTAAAATGACAAATATTACATATAAATAATTTATTTTTAACATTCTGTTTTCAGCAACTCAAGCAATCCATGGCTTTATACTATTATTTTATTTTAATATCTTAGTTTAAAATTTTTGTGCTTAGCCACCAAAGAACAATGTTTAACTCTAAACATATTAAAAAATCCAGGCCAACAATACTGGCAAAATCTAAGAAATCATTAATAGCAATTCAAAAAGTTTTATCTATTTAAAGGTGTTATTGTCCTATCTAGCATGGTCATCTGGGCAGCTTCACCAGAAAGCCATAGCTTTATGCTCCCCAGGGAATCACTGGCTCATTCCCTGTGAATCGCATGGCACAAGGGGTGATGGACGCATGTGCAGAGAAGTTTAAGTGACGTAGGGAAGGTCACCTCAGACTAGCCAGGGAGAAGATCATTGGCTGAGAGGATGGAGCTACTGCAAGTGCACAAAATCCTGGAAGGGTAAAATCCCCAAAGAGTTTCCTTTTCTTCTTCTTGTGCTCCCTCTTGCTCTGTGAACCGCACTCGCCCTGTGTTCATGCGCTCGCCTACGGTAGTCATATGGCCATAAGCAGCAACATGGCACGCAGGATGCTGGACTGGATTTAATATGGAGCAGAAATTCTGTGCAGTGGCTTTCATTCTGGCCCTGCTGAAGACAAGATTGGACTTCTTCCATGGCAAGACAGACAGAGATGAGACTTTTGAAGGGAACCCCTTAATTTTACATCATCAATAAAGCTTTCCATGAATCCCCATCCTCAGGAGGGACCTCAGAAAATTGTTTTCCCTGTGGCATCCCAAGAACTGCACTTCTACCTATAACAAAGTCAATGCCAATATATATACACATATATGTATATGTATATATATATATACACATATGTATATATATATATATATATATATATAGTTTTAATACAGTACTAATCAGATAAGAAAAATCACATTAAATTTTAGGGAGGAAAGTCTCATCATTTTTTTTTTTCCAGCAAAATTAATGACAATGAAAAACTAAAATTATCTAACAGTAGAAAACAATAAAACTAGATTAGGTAACATTTGTGTAAATTAAACATGAAACTAACTTGTTTTAATTAATTAGCAATATTTACCTTGCAGCATTTTGTTCTATCTTTTCATCAATATCACTGAAGATCTGCTTAAACTCCAAGTCTCCAGGAAATGAATTTAACAAACAATGTAGGTCAAAGGAATTATGGGAATATTCATCTCCCCAATCCATTCTGAGGAACAAGAATAAAAAACATGTTAGTTACTTCAAAATAAAGGGAAAAACCTACCTCAAGATGTGATTCTAAATCAAAACCAGTAATTCCCACTTCTAGGTAAAATGAAATATAGCAATAGAAGAACTAGGGTATTAGTAAACTGGGTAGAGTGTTTTGTTAAAGTTCATGAGGTGTGACCTAATTTTCACACTTTTCTCTAGTTTGAAAACTGAACAAAACAGCACCCCTCAGAGAGAACTTATAAACAGCCTGCTGCTTCCCACTGTAACCCAGCACTGCAAAGAAAATCACAAAGCCTCACAGACCACTGTGAACAAAGGCTGATGCAGAAAGAATTTAATACCTTCCTTCCACTCTTACCCACAAGCTAGCCTGGAAATGACAACCTCAGAACTGTTATTGCCTGATAACTAGGCCCTACTCATATATGAAAAGGGCAAAACAATCTCCTCTCTGATAACTAAAACTTAAATTTGCTACTTTTTATAGATATGCATTTTTCCCCACTATCAAAGAGTTATTCATCCATTCATTCCATATATATTTATTGAATGTTTGGTAAGGAAGAAGCATTGCAGTTGAAGCTTGGGATATAGCTGCAACAAGTGAAAGTCCCTTCCTTTACGGAGTTTTATTCGGGTGCAGAAGGTACATTTTAGAAACACATCAACAGATTTTATAAAAGATCACATGGTGAGAAGTGCTATGTGAACATGCAGGGTCAGGGCAATGGGACAGATTAAGAAGGATGAGTTGGTACAGTGTATGAACTATTTTATTTAGGGATATGTTATTTTTGGGCATACAATAGTGCTTATCAAATATTTTGATGACTGATAGATAGTGTTACCGATGAGACCACGAGATCTTGGCTCTTGTTTTCTTGAAGGAAAGATTTCAATCAGGAGACAAAGTATAGCAAAATAAGAAAGAATTTATTGGCTGCAGCTAAAAATATATTTAGGACAGTGAAACAAGGAAGAACATAGAAAAAGCAACAGGAGGGCCTGGGCTGGGCTGCTTTGGCTCACTGAAAAGTCAGAGAAAAGGCGGCCTTGGTGACAGGTTCAGGGGGTTAGCTCGGGACAAGCTGCCGCTGCCCAATGCTCCCCTGGTTGCAAGTCTCATGGGGTCCCTAAAGAAGGAGAAAGGGAATGGGGTGAGTCTGCTCCCCTGGGGAGAGTGCACACTAGGCCCTTCACTCTGAGTGTATTTCTCTCTCTGGTAAGTGGAAATCTTAGGGGAAGTCTCAGGGGAGGGTGTGATCTTTCACGGTTGTGGTCTCCACTGACTGGTCAGCACAAGGGCAGAGGTTCAATAGTCAATGTAGCTGGTCCTGAGGTAGCCATGGCATCACTTTCCTGGTTTTGCTGCTTTTCTAGCCCTGGAGCTGAAATACAACTGAGGCCTAGATGTTATCTTTAGGGAGGAAAAGGTCAGGGCGGGAGGATCTAAACCACATGACCGGCAATAAGCTAGGGGAGGAAAGGTTTCTCTGGGGGCAAGGTTCTTATCTTCTCAGTTTTGCCCCTTGCTAGGCATCTAGTTTCTGTATCTGTCCCATCATCCTTGCTCTGCTCATGTCTGTCTAACTGATAACCAGAACGGTGAGCAGAGGTGTTTTTCTCGGGGTCGTGTCTCACGACACTGAAGAATGAGTTACGGACCAGAAGATTTAAGCAAAAGTATGGAAAATTGATTACAAGCAGATTCAGACTCCTTGCAAGGGGAGGGGGACCCAAGAATGGGCCGCCCGTTCAAGCCTTGTAGTCCAGGGGTATATATTTGCTACAAGCTGCTCTAGGTCTACCTGATTGATTCCCTCAATTGTTTTTTGTTTGCTTTGTTTTTTTTGCAATAAGTATTTATCATTTCATATATAACTAGAGGCCCAGTGCACAAAATTTGTGCATTAGTAGGGTCCCTAGGCCTGGCCAGCAATCAGGGCCAATGACGGCCTTCCAGCTGCCGGCCAGGGCCTTTCTTCTTTCTATGCCAAACCCTGGTGGTCAGTACACATCATAGCGAGCTATCAAACTCCCAGTTTCCGGGTCGAACTCCCGAGGGGACACTTTGCATACTAGCCTTTGGTAAAATATTTTAAAAAGAAATTACCCCTGCTCTCAGTGGGACTTATAATTTTTTATTTTACATTCCCTATCTCTCTTCATTTTAGACATCTTCCATCCTTAACTTCTCTCTTAGCAATTTGTGTTTATCATTTTATTCAAAATCTATTTCAAAACTTACATAATTCCTAAATATCTTTTGATTAAATATGACCACTTCACCAATCTTTTTGTATTATTTTATTTGTGCTTCCAAATACTGTTAAAAGAAAATGTTTCTTGTATTATTTTGATAATGTGTGTTTTATGTCCTTCTTTGAAATCAGTTCTAGAGAAAACTGATAATAAACTGAAACATGTTGAGCATTCAAATAAGGTTGGGAATCATGATTTTGAAGGATTCCCAATCTACATGGTTGTCTGACTTTTCTCTATCTAACCTCAGTAAAGAAGTTAATCAACAAACACAAAGAATGCATTAAAGCTGTGACAAGATGGAGTAGCAGAATGATGATGGTTCAGAGTTTTCATGTGACTGGCATACATCTTGTGATGCTTCCATATCATTATTTATATGGTTCCATGGTGATGAAGGATAAGAGAAGCAAGAGTCACCTTTTCGGTAAAAGGCAGCAAGACTAAGATGCTGTGTGATAGGATTTAAAAAACAAACAGCCTGGCTGGAGTGGCTCAGTGGCTGAGCGTTGACCTACGAACCAGGAGGCTGATTCAGGGTCAAGGGCACATGCCCGGGTTGTGGGCCTGATCCCCAATGGGGGGGCGTGCAGGAGGCAGCAATCAACTATTCTCTCTCATCATTGATATTTCTCTCTCTCTCTCTCTCTCTCTCTCTCTCTCTCTCTCTCTGTCTGTCTCTCTCTCTCTCTTTCTCTCCCTTTCCCTTCCCCTCTGAAATCAATAAAAATATATTAAAAAAATAAAATAAGCAAACAAAACCTGATGGACAAAATATAATTAATGGGATGAAAACATTAACAAACAGTGATGCACAGATGAACATAAGAAATAAATAGAGTAGACTGTGGTAAGTAATGCTGAAGTTTGGATTTAAAAATGTCTCTTAAATTGGCAGTGATCCCTGCAGGACTGCGGTGAGAAAGAAGCATGCACCAAATGGGCATGGACATAGGCGCCAATCCTCCCATTTCCTTATCTGTGCCACAGTGTGTCTGCCATTGCTGGGCATCATGATGGAATGGAAAGGATGGACAGTCTCTCTTCACAAGGAGCAGAGATAGTAAAAAGAATAAGGCCATAAAAAAAAAGGAGCCCATAGAAAGATCACTGCTATTCTCTAAAAGGTAACTATGACTTCAACAACAGAAAAGTAAATTATTGAGGGATGAATGTAATTTGGCAAATACTCCAGGGGTATTTTAGAAATTTTAGAAAGGTAGAACTAACTATAAAATTTAGGGAGGAAAACGAAGAGGCGGTGAAATTGTAGGTCAGGATATAGCTTTACAGTCTCTTTATGTTCCTGTATTTCCAACTATTAAATTGTCATCAGGAAGATTATAATAATTTGACATAATGAATGAAGTCTCTTATCTTACTCCATGATAAATCAAAAATGGGAGCTGCACCTCCTTAAAGTACAATAACTTTGTGTTTGAAATTGCTATTCTGCAATATTGTTTTTAAATGTTCATTCTCCTATGTTTCCAAAATTTTTTATAAGGTTAAAAACACAGTGCTTAATATTTCAAACACGTATGAAAATCCAATCTAATATTAATTATTGCCTGTAAAAATGAGTTATGTTTGAAGAATTATATCTAAGCCAAACATCTGTAGATCATGTTTCAGCCGTAGGCAAAATGTAACAGTTGAGTTATAAATTCCTAAGAACAGTGACTATAAGAAAATACGAGCATATTATAAGCACTGCCAGAAAACATTACAATAAAGCAATAAAAAAATATATAGTTTATGTGATCAAAAGAAACCCCAGAAAAATAATTTTGGAATCTCACCAATCTTTTAACATATTTCAAAATGATACTTTTCTACTATAGGGTCTCTCTCTCTCTCTCTCTCTCTCTCTCTCTCTCTCTCTCTCTCTCTCTCTCTCTCATTTAAAACATATAATGGTTAGAGTCCTTATTTTATCTTTTTTTCTGTTTCTTCAACAATAAAAATCTGGAGTGCCATTCTTCTTATAACCAACTAATAAATGTTAAAAAGTACTAAAAAGAAGACTGAACCTTTTGGAAGAAATCCACACTACAACTGAGTTAGTAAAGGGGAAAAATAGGACTGTGTGATTTTTCCTCTGTGGAAAAGCCCAGTGAGGTGGGTCATATACCTTCTGTGAACTCAATGTAGACTGAATGTGTCCACCAGCTCTGGCTCACCGGAAGTCTGACTACTCAACAATGCTCTCTAACCTAAAATAAATACTGTGAAAGAGCATGACAAGGAAGTGGGGTGTTGGTATGAATTAAAAATAATTACACATTCTACCTGAAACTAAAGAAGTTTCAAAATGTTGCACTATGATAAAACACATCTAACTATAAACATTATTGAACCAAGAAGCAATAGATCTGAGTCCTGATCCTGGTTCTGTTAATGTCTATGTGCATTTGGGTAAGTTACTCAAGAAGGATGGGGCTCACGTTCCTCAATTAATGGATTTATTAGGCCCTGAGGTTTCTTCTAGCAATAAATCTGCTGTATTCTATAAGAAATTATAAGAGACATACATATTTCTGAACCCTTCCACCCAAATTCACTCTTAAAATGGACTATTTTGTTTGTCAATCCCATCATTTTTCCTGCATCTTGGGCTCTCAGAGCCACTTTAGCTCTCCAGGACTGCTACATGGAAAGCTAAAGTAGAACCCATAGCAAGAAATAATATGCAAAAACAAGAAATGTGAGGCATCAAGATATTATTCT